CAAGTTCAAGAAGACCAAAATCATATCAAGCATGTTCTCAGATCAGAAGAGCGTGAAACTAGAAATCAATTGCAAAAAGAACATGCAAAGACATTGGAACACATGGAGGCTAAATAGCATGTTATTAAACAATGAATGGGTTACCAAGGAGATCAAGGAACAAAAGAAAAACTTCTTGGAAACCTATGAAAATGAACACACAACACAAAATCTACAGGATGCAGTGAAAGCAGTTATGAGAGGAAAGTTCATAGTACTACAGGCCTACTTCAAGAAACAAGAATCATTTCTAATAGACTATCTAATCTCACAACTTAAAGAACTAGAAAACAAACATAAAGAATACCCGAGAGCAAGTAGAAGGAAGAAGATAGTAAAGATGAGAGCATAAATTAATGATATACAGACCAATAGAACAATTCAATGGATAAATGAAACAAAAACCTAGTTTTTTGAAAAGATAAAAATGATTGATGGACCCTTAGCAAGATGCAACAGGAAACAAAGAGAGAGAACCCAAATACACAAAATTAGAAACAAAAGAGAAGAAATAACAACTGACACCACAGAAATACAAAGGATCGTAAACAAATACCATAAAAAATTATGTGGCAACAAATTTGACAATCTAAGTGAAATGAACACATTTCTAGACACACAGTGTCCCAGAACTGGACCAGGAAGAAATGAAAATCTTGAAAAGATCAATAACAGCTAAGGAAATTGAAGAGGTAATTCAGACTCTCCCAGCAAATGAAAGCCCAGGCCCGGATGGCTTCACGAGAGAATTTTACCAAATATTCAAAGAAAAACTAACACCTATTCTCCTCAAACTATTTCAGAAATTTCAAGAAGAAGGAAGACTTTCAAACTCATTTTATGAGGCCAAAATAATTCTAATTCCAAAACCAGAAAAAGACACTACAAAGAAAGAAAACTGCAGGCCAATATCCCTGATGAACCTAGATGCCAAAATCCTGAATAAAATACTATTAAATTGGATCCAGCAATACATCAAAATAATTATTCACCATGACCAAGTGGGATTTATTCCAGGGTGGTAAAGCTTGTACAATATTTGCAAATCAATAAATGTGAAACACCACATAAGCAAAATAAAAGATAAAAAATACATGATCAGCCCTGGCCAGTTTGGCTCAGCGGTTAGAGCGTCAGCCTGCAGTCCAGAGAGACCCGGGTTCGGTTCCTGCTAAGGGCATGTACCTCGGTTGCAGTTTGTCCCCGGCCCTGGTTGGGTCGTGTGGGTGGCAACCACTCGATGTGTCCCTTTCACGTCAATGTTTCTTTCTCTCTCCCTCCCACTGTATGTGAACAAAATATCAAAAAAGGTCCTTGGGTGAGGACTAAAAAAAAAAAAAAAAAAAAAAAATACATGATCATATCAATAAATGCTGAAAAAGCATTCGACAAAATCAGCACCCATTTCTGATAAAAACGCTCAGCAATGTGGGAATAAAGGGATCATATCTCGACATAATAAAGGCCATATATGAAAGACCTACAGCCAACACGATACTCAACAAGCAAAAACTAAAAGCATTTCCCTTAAGAACAGGAACAAGGCAAGGATGCCCAATTTCACCTCTCTTATTTAACATAGTACTGAAAGTTTAGCCACAGTAATCAGACAGGAAGAAAAAATAAAAGGGGCCCTGGCTGGTTTGGCTCAGTGATTGGAGCATCAGCCTGGGGACTAGACAGTTCCGGGTTCGGTTCCTGCTGGGGTATGTACCAAAAAAAAAGATAAAGAAAAAATAAAAGTGATCTAAATTAGAAAGGATTAAGTGAAACTGTCATTATTCACAGATGACATGATATCATACATAAAAAACCCTAAAGACTCCATCAAAAATGTAGCAGACTTAATAAATAAAATTGGCAAAGAGTAGGATACAGAATTAATGTCAAGAAATCGACGGCATTCTTATATACCAACGATGAAGTCACAAAATGAAAAAACACTAAAAAAAAATCCCATTTACCATTGTGGCAAAAAAAAAAAAAAAAAAAATTAAGATATCTAGGAATAAATTTAACCAAGAAAATAAAGGACCTATTTGCAGAAAACTATAGGACACTGGAAAAACAAAACTAGAGGAAGATATAAAAAACTGGAAGCACATACATTGTTCATGAATTGGAAGAATTAACATCATTAAAATGTCCATATTAGCCAAAGCAATCTATAGATTCAGTGCAATCCCCATCAAAATACCAATGACATATTTCACAGAACAAGAACAAATATTCAAACGTTCATATAGAACCAAAAAAGACCCTGAATAGCCACAGCAATCTTGAAAAAAAAAAGAAAAAGTAGGTGGGATCAGAATACTAGATTTCAGGTTATACCAGATTTCAATTTTAATAAATAAAATTGGCAAAGAGCAGAATACAAAATTAATGTCAAGAAATTGATGGCATTCTTATATACCAATGATGAAGTCACAAAATGAAAAAAAACTAAAAAACAATCCCAAAGCTACTGTTCAAAACAGCCTGGTACTGGCACAAGAACATGCATATAGACCAGTGGAACAGAACAGAGAACTCAGAAATGGACCCAAGACATCATGTTCAGTTAATATCTGACAAAGGTGACAAGAGCATACAATGTAGTAAAGAAAGTTTTTTAAATAAATGGTGTCGAGAAAATTGGACATTATATGCAAAAAAATGAAACTAGACCATCAACTTACACCACACAAGAATAAAATCAAAATGGGTTAAAGTCTTAAATATGACCTGTGAATCCATAAAAATACTAAAAAAAAATGTAGGCAACAAAATTTCAAACATCATACGCAGCAGAATTTTCACTGATACATCACCTAAGGCAACAGAAACAAAGAAAAAATTAACACATAGGACTACATCAAACTCAAAAGCTTCTTCACAGCAAAAAAAATAAAAATCATCAAAATGCAAAGGCAACCCACTTATGGGAGAGCTAGTTGCCAATGATATATCAGAGAAGGGGTTAATTTCCATTATATATAGAGTGCTCAAACAACTCAACAAAAGGAAGACAAAGAACCCAATTAAAAAATGGGCAGAGGAGCTAAATAGACACCTCTCCAAACAGGACATACAAATGCCAAGAGACATATACAGAAATGCTCAACATCACTAATCATCAGAGGGATGCAAATTAAAACAACCATGAAGTATCACCTCACATCTGTCAGGATGGCTGCCAATAACAAATAATCAAACAACAAGTGTTGCTGAGGGTGTGGAGAAAACGGAACTAGTACACTGCTGATGGGAATTTAGTACACTGCTGGTGGGAATTTAAACTAGTGTAGCCACTATGGAAAACACTATGGTATTACCTCAAATAATTAAAAATTGAATTGCCATTTGACCCAGTGATCCCACTTGTAGGAATATACCCTGAGAAGCCTGAAAAACCAGTCAGAAAGAATATATGTACCCACATGCTCATAGCAGCACTATATACAATCACTAAGATCTGGTAACAGCTCAAGTGTCCATCAGTAGATGAGTGGATAAAAAAAGCTGTGGTATGTATATACAATGGAATACTATGCAGCTGTAAGAAAGAAAAATCTTTTATCCTTAAAGACAATATGGAGGGACTTCGAGAGAATTATGCTAACCAAAATAAGTCAATGAGATTTTATTTATTTGTGGAATATAGTGAAAAAGTTGGTCTGATGAACCAAATAGAGCCAGATACATAGAAAGGAGTATGGTTTAGAGACAAACCTCGGGGTATGAGGGCAAGGAGGATGAAAGAGATGAATCAAAGAACTCATGTGCATGTGTGCATAACCAGTAGACATAGACAACAATTCTGTGGGAGTAGGGGGATGAAATGGGAGAGGAGGCTGTCTAGGGGGGAAAAAGGAGAAACATCTGTAACAAAAATAAATCAATCAAAATTGAAAAAAAATTCTGTTTCCTATGTAATATTTTTAGGAGAGTGTGCTGCAAGAAAACGAGGACTGAGAAGACAGTCCAAGAGAAAGGAACAGTTGAGGTTCCACCAAATGAAAGCTGTATAAAGAAGTCCCAGAACAACAATTGTATCAGAGATCACAGACAGGATCAGAAGAAAATACCCATGAAAATGTGATATAACACATATGACTATATGCTACAGGACTGTAGCAGATGTCTATGGCAGGCCAGACTTTGCAACATCCTATTTCCTAACATCAACAATAAAACTCACAGAGAAGCCCTGGCCAGTTTGTCTCAGCAATTAGAGTGTTGGTGTGTGGTCCAGAGAGACCTAGGATCAGTTCCTGCTAAGGGCACGTACTTCAGTTGCAGTTTGTCCCCAGCCCTGGTTGGTCATGCAGGTGGCAGCCACTCAATGTGTCTCTTTCATGTCAATGTTTCTCTCTCTCTCTCTTTCTTCCTCTCTCTCCCTCCCACTCTATCTGAACAAAAAGTGGAAACATGTCCTTGGGTGAGGATAAAAAAAAAAAAAGCCCACAGAGAAAACAACACCAACTCATCACTGACACATACAAAAGAGAACATCCAAAACCACCTGAGAGCTAGGATATAAAACTGCATGTTGCCAGAATTCCTTATTTCCCCTCTTCATATCATCCCCCTATAAAAGCCCTGCTTACTCTGAGATGTTAAGATAATTGTATCTCATGTAGTCAGCACCTGAATAAATCACTTTCCTTCCACCTGTGTCAGCTGTTTGGGTTCACAGTGACAGGCAAAAGAACCTGAGGGTTGTTTGGGCCAGTTTCATTAACATGTTATTAATGTTAATATGTTACTAAGCCCAGTTTTTCCATAATAGATGTATAGTTTGGAAAATGTAAATAATATCAACTTAGGCAAAAATTGTTAGATGATAAGGAATAAAGGATGCAAAAATTTGTAAAAAATACATTTTCATTTACACTGAACTAAATCGATGTATAATATCTAAAGTTGGGATAGAAATATGTTAGAAAATATTTAAGGAAAGCCAGAGTTTTTCTTACCTGGTGGCATAAGTTTCATAAGTACTCTTGCTCCAGTTCTAAGTGGTGGCATTTTAAGACTGCTACCCAAGTCTGCAACTTGCCAAAGAAAAGAGACGTATCTGGGATGCTGTGACATGATCTGAAATATGAAAAAGAAAAAATGCTTACCTATAAATTATGTAAAAAAATTTTTTTAATTCAAATTACCTTATTCACTGTCTCTATTTTCTACTTGTCAGCCACATTTTTTGCTTATGCCATTTTTACTCCCTGAAAATTTGTTTTCCTCATAATGCAAATATAACCATTTACTAGGCTTCCTACGCTACTTTGTAACAGTTATTCTATTGTTTTGTAAAATGTGGAACTCAGATGGTGTTTATTATAAAATGCAATTCACTTCTTCAGGGGCAAATGTTGCTCGTTAAATTCCAAATCCAATATTTGCAGGAACCTAAATTCCTCTGAAATTAAAGTGGCTGGTTTTATTACGGCTTTAAGGGTGAGTGGGAAAATAGAAAAAATAAGGAAGAAAGGAGTTGTTTCTTTAGATATATATTAAGAATCTGAGAAAGACAATAAATTGTGTATTTCTTTAAAAACAGTGGTAAGTGCCCTGGGCCTGCGGTCCAGAGAGACCTGGGTTTGGTTCCCGCTGAGGGCGCATACTTCAGTTGGTTTGTCCCTGGCCCTGGTTGGTCATGCGGGTGGCAGCCACTCGATGTGTCCCTTTCACATCAATGCTTCTGTCTCTCTCTGCCTCTCTCTCCCTCCCACTCTATCTGAACAAAAAATGGAAAAATATCCTTGGGTGAGGATAAAAAAAAAAACAGTGCTAAGTTGGCTGAAGAGAAGTCTGAGAGGCACTGGTGAAAATGTGGGTTAGTCTAAAGCCTCACCCCTTTCTCCTAAGGCCTTGGAGCTGTGTAGTATATAAAAGATGATGTCTTTTAAGTGAGCTACTCACAACAAGTTAATTACTTCACTAAAACAAAACAAAGCAAAAACAGGAAGACATAATATAGTAGTAGTATCTGGGGGTCTATATTTAGTAGTGCACAATAATATAATACTATACATATGGAAAGATTTTATTTTTACTTTCAACAATTAAGAATTCATCCAAGCATCTGTCCACTCATGACACATGTAAACTCCTCAGAAAAAAGAACCATACTACACATTTCTTTGTGTTTCTAAAGAATAGTGTATGTCTTGCATACAATAGCTACTTACCACTCCAGGCAAACAACTTTCCACTTCTGGATTGGGACTATCACTGTAATGATTACAGCGGTTTCCAGTAGATTCAGCTGAGGAATCAGAACTATCAGGGCTTGAGGTCATACTGGAACTTACTTGTGTGAGTTTGGCTGAAATAACCTGAAAATGAAAGTATGAAAAAGTAGCAAAGAGGAGCAAAAACACTTCCACAAAATTTAGCAACTGAATATATCAAAAGACTAAAAATATTTCACGCTTTAATTTTAGAAATACACTTTAAAATTACTATAGAACATATACCACTTGGTAGTTTATTTCGTCCACTATACTAGTATCACAATATCTTTCCTATTCTGGGCTGTAATTCAAATACTTAACACTAAAGACTGTACACAAAAGCTAGACGCTCAATAAACATTTATTGAATATATGCAAAACTACCTCCATGTTTAAAATCTGGGGGATATTTGAAAATTATACTTACTGATTTATCTTTTAAGTTTAATTGTCCAATTAGCTTTCTGTCATCTTCAGAATCTATCAGCTCACCACACACAAAAAGTTCAATTTTAGTGTGGGCTACATTTGCTTTTATATGATTGAGAATACATCGTCGGACTGAACCAACTGTATCATTTGTATGAGACCATATGTCCATGTCATCGATCTGTCTACCATGGTTTGGAAATCGAACAATGAGAGATAAGTGTTTACCACAAAATGCTCTGGAAAAAAAATTAAAAGTACTTTTTATAAAGCACACAATCAACTTCTGCCGATTAAGAACATTAACATGGCAATTTAATGTTTTCTTATTAAAAAAGAGAAATATAATTAAAGTGATTTCTTTTTACAATAACATAAGTAAGTAATAACATACTAGTTAATTGTAAGCTACAAACCTCAATTTGCTAAAATTATTTTTGAATGTGAAAGAGATAAGCTTCAGCTTGAAAATATCAATATGGCAAAATTCATGCTTCCCTAAAATTTATAAAAATTCTTAAAAACAAAATTCATCTAAAAATACTTATCTTTCTATAGTCTCTTCTCACAGGTAAGATAAGATGTAAAACAAAAATCATATTCAAAATGCATTTTTCCATTTTTAAAGATCATTATTTTATAAAATCTGATTATACTTATTCTATAAACTTTCCAAAAACTAGAAATGCCATTCAAACTATTAGAGAATAATTTAGTTTGTTATTTACTTAATTTATGATTATTTGATTTATATCAGATAGAATTTGTATATAATTTATTATACTAAAGTGGCAGAAAATTATATACTTTATAGTTTCTAAATTTAAAGAAATTTTAACAAGGACAATTTACAAATATTTTTTGTAACTGAATAAATAGCTTTAAAAAAAATCCTCACCTGAGGATGTGTTTTTATTGATGTTTAGAGAAAGAGTAAAGGGGGAGAGAGAGAAACATTGATGTAAGAATAACATAGATCAGTTCCCTCCCATATGTACCTGACTGGGGATGGAACCTGCAACCTAGGTATGTGTCCTAACCAGAACTGAATCTGAAATCTTTTGGTGTACAGGAGGATGGCTCTAATCAACTGAGCCACCCAGCCAGGGAAGGATAAGTAGCTTTTGTAAATTGTATTTTTAACAGCATGAATAAATAACATGAAAATAAAATAGCATATCAGCTGTAAAACATGAGTGCCATACTTTTCTTGTTGTTGCTCATAATCCTGACCTGAGGTTATTTTTCCACTGATTTTTACATACAGGGGAAGAGAGGGATGGAGAGTAGGTGAGAAAGAAAGAGAGAGAGAGAAACATCAGTATGAGAGAGACACATTGATTGAATGCCTCCTAAACAACCCTGACAAGAAATCAAACCCACAACCCTTCTGTGTAAGGGTTGATGCTCTAACTGTTGAACCAAACCAGGCAGGGCCGATGCCACACATTTTAATTAAAAACAGAATACAAATTTTCATTGTTTTATTACTGAAAAAAATCTTTATTTTTTTAAAAGAAATTTAACTTTCTGACTTTGTCCTTGTGCCTTCAACGTTTGGATGATTTTTTGCTCCTCAATAAAGAAAGCATGGTTGATCCTGTTGCAGACATATTTAGTACATGCATCTACCACCAGCCCTGCTGACATGTTTTATTTTCTAAATTTAGTTATTGATATTTTGAGAGGGGGGAGAGAGAAATATTGATTTACTGTTCCATTTATTTATGCATTCAGTGGTTGATTTTTGTATGTGTCCTGACTGGAGATCTAACCAGAAACCTTGGCACGTTGGAAACAACACTCAACCAACCAAGCTAGTGGGCCAGGGCTGACATGTTTTTAAATTTTAGACTACTTCTTTAGTACTTTGGGTCTCATAGCACGAATTCTACAAAGTTAGCCTGGGCATACACCATATACAGATTTTGGCGCTTTCCCAAACTTCTTGGTGTACAGGTAAACAATTCAACTACCAGGGTTCAGGACAGCCTACTTTTGTTTAGAGGCTATATTGTAGGACAGCCTTGGCTGGTATTTCAAATACTGGATTATTCTGAATACTCAAAGAGAAAGTCCACAGAAGGGGCCAGTGTCACACTTAAATGGTGATAAAACTTGGAACAATAAAAGAGAAAAAAGAAAAACTATACTTTATAAGTGAGAATGCCTCTCCAAAACATATCTAAAATCTACCTATTTAAAAAATAATTATTTGTAAGTTGCAAATGATATTTTTAAAAGATGTCACTGAAATACAGAAATAAAAACTTTCTATCATTTCAACCTGTTTGTCATTACTTTTCTAAATAACTGGCTAAGAAAATAAAAAATAATTGCAAGTTAACAATGGTAAGTTAATTTCCTTTTTAACTTTTTTTTTTTTTAATTAATTAATTTTTTATTACAGATGTCCCTCCCTTTTCCTCGTCCTCACTCCCTAGGCCTTCACTGCACTGTTTTCTGTGTCCACTGGTTATGCATGTATGTTCTTTGTTTTGGGTAGGTTAATTTCTGACAAACCTTGACATAGGTAGAACTGTTCTTTCCTCATGATAATCACTATCACATTCATTTATGTATTCCTTTAAAACATTTAAAACTCGAACCATTCGAATGGTTTCCTGTCTTGCACAATTAACACTGTCTTTATCACCATCCAAAACACACAATGTATCATATGAGGCGTTCAACCAGTCAAAGCAAGATTGAATGAAGTCTTCATGGATAATCACCTAGAAGTAATAGTCCACATAACAATTCAAGTGATTTCAAAATATAAAAACAAAACAAATTAATCCAATCAAATAAAAATATCAATTTTTAGGTAATTTTCAATCATATTATATTTTAACCAGTAATAAAACACAAAGAAGCCAATTGTACAATAAGCACATAAACTATAGTTTTAAAACTATTAGTTCTAAAAACAAAATAAAACAAAACTTTTCTGGACTAAGTGTCAAAGTAAATCAAATTTTTGGCTCTCCCAGCATAATATAATCCTGTCAATGCCAGTAATTTCTTTGTCAATTATATAATTAAGTAAGTGTTTTTCTAACTGTATTTAGAATCCTAGACTTTAAAAATGTTTCAGGGCTGACCTTGGAAGAAGTTTAGGGAGGAAAAAGACAATAGGGAAAACTGAACAAAGAAAAACTGGCTTTCATTTTTTTACATTAAGTATCATTATATAATTATAATGTCCCTATATAAGAAATAATTATATTCAAAATAATCCTAACTATCTGAGGATAACTTATCAAGGCATCATTCATTGAATTAGCATCTTGTAAGGATCAAGTATGGGTTAAAAACTTCACTATTTTTGTTGAGTCAAATTAATTTCTAGTTTTTAAATTAATACTAAGTTTAAAAAGAGTCTACTGAACACAAGATTACTTTCAACCTAACTGTAGTGAAAGTTTTTAAGCACTTTGATCCTTACCTAATTGACTTGTAACCTGGGGCCAAGGTTTGTATATATCTCTTTAAGGAGATCTATAGCTCTGCTGGCTATGTCATCATTACTCTGAATCACCACCTAAACCAAATATTATGGTGTAAGTAACGTTCAAGATATCTTTTAATTAGACAATTAAATTCAAATCATATGCTCAAATATTTTAAAGAGTATTCAACAATTTAAGTTGAAAATGATTCTAACACTCAAATTAAGTAAAATTAAGTAACAAAGTTAAATCTTAAAATGAAGAATTAATGGATATAAAACACAAGTTTTCAGGGATTCCAAAATGGCGGCGGAGTAAATGGAAGCTACACAGATCATCTCCCAGGACCAAACTGGAATTACAACAAAAATAAAGACAAATCATCAAGAAAAAGCAACAGAAAAGCAGCTTGGAGGACCACATAACCAGAGACACTGACTCAATCCTGGTAGGCTTGCAGAAAGGCCAGAGGCGGGCTGGGAGCCCAAGGTCACCAGAGGCCTTAGCTGTGAGCAGTGCCTTTGGGTTAAACTCCCAAGCCTCTCCACAGCGAGACAGACACTAAAATAGCCACAGCCACTCACCTTGGGCTCAAGCAGAGGAAGGGCAGACTGGAACTGTGTGGCGACACTCAGGATTTGGAGGGTGCTCAGAACTTTTGGTGAGTTGCGGCCACACAGGAATGTGGTCATCTTACTCCTTCCTAGGGCCCTGGGGAGAGGCAGGAGCCCCTCCCTCAGAGATTCAACCCCACCCTGTGGCCATTGAAATGCAAATTGAGGTCCAGTAACAACCAGAATCTGCCCCACCCTTGGGAAATCCCCTTATGCTGAGTGCCTGAGGGAGTTTTTTACTCAACTGAGAAGCCAAGTCTCTTCAGATAACCACTACTGATAGCCTCCAGGCAAAAAGCTAGAAGATAACTGTACCATCACTGGGCTAGCAACTCTAACCAGGAAAGTAAGACTTGACAACAGTGTTTAACAAGGGTCGTCCCTCGCTCATCCAAACCCAGGAGAGGAGCCACAAACAGCAGAACACCAGTACCCACAGAGAAAATTTGGCAGGCTCCAAAGCCCACTGTGATAGCCAAAATGGTGAAACACAAAAACGAAAGCCAAATGAAAGAACAAGAGACCTCTACAAAGGATAACATAGATGAGGTGCAGTTAAGCAAGTTAACAGAACTAGAATTCAGAGCCATGATATTGAGGAAGCTCAACAGCATGTGTAAGTACATGAGCACCATGAGTAAAGGCATAGAAATGTTGAAAATCAACCAGTTGGAAATTAAAAACTACCAAGAAGAAATGAAGAATAACATATCAGAAATAAAGAACACATTGAAAAGTCTAAATAGCAGAGTAGAGGAAGCTGAGGACTGGATCAGTGAATTAGAAGATAGGGTAGAAAATATCAACCAATCAGAAAACCAAAAAGAAAAAAACAATTATAAAACAGGAAGACAGCTTAAGAGAACTGTGGGAAACGTAGCAACATTCGCATCATAAAAGTCCCTGAAGAAGAAGAAAATGAGCAAGGGTTAGAGAATATATTTGAAGAAATAGTGACAAAAAACTTCCCTAATTTGGTGAAGGAAGAAGGCATTCAAGTTCAATAAGCACAGAGAGACCCAAGTAAGAAGAACCCAAACAGGCCCACACCAAGACACATAGTAATTAAAATGCCAAAACTTAAAGACAAAGAGATAATCCTAAAAGCAGCAGGAGATAAGCAACAGGTTACCTACTAAGGAAACCCCATAAGGCTCTCCACTGACTTCTCAACAGAAAGACTACAGGCCAGAAGAGAATGTCATGAGGTAATCAAGGTCATAAAAAACAAGGATCTGAATCCAAGACTACTCGTCCCCTCAAGGCTATCATTCAAAATAGAAGGTCAAATATAGAGCTTCCCAGAAAAAAAAAAGGCTAAGGGAATACATTAGCACCAAATCAGCACCACAAGAAATGTTAAAAGGACTGCTTTAATTAGTAGAATAAATAGGAAGAAAAATATAACCACACTAAATAAAAATGGCAATAAATAAATACATATCAATCACCTTAAGTGTAAATGGATTGAATGCTTTCACAAAAAGACACAAAGTAGCTGATTAGATAAGAAAGCATGACTCATCTACATGTTGTTTATAAGAGACCCACCTCACAATAAAAGACTCAGGTTGAAAGTAAAGGAATGGAAAAAAATATTCCAAGCAAATGGAAAAGAATAAAAAAGGCTGGGGTAGCAATACTCATATCTGATAAAATAGATTTCAAAATGAAGGCCATAACTAGAGACAACAAAGGCAAGTACGTAATATTGAAAGTATCTATCCAACAGGAAGATATAACATTGATAGACATATATGAACCCAACATAGGAGCACCAAAATATATTAAAAATCTTCTGGAAGATTTAAAAAGAAAAAAATTGATAGCAATACAATTATAGCAGGGGACTTCAACACCCTGCTGACATCACTGGATAGATCCTCTAGACAAAAAATTAACAAGGAAACGAAGACTCTAAATGAAACACTAGACCAAATGAATTTAATAAGTATCTACAGAGAATTATACCCCAAAACTACAGAATTTACATTCTTCTCAGGTGCACATGGGACATTTTCAAAGGCAGACCACATGTTAGGACACAAACTAAGTCTCTTCAAGTTCAAGAAGACTGAAATCATATCAAGCATCTTCTAAGAACACAATGGCATGAAACTAGAAATCAATTGCAACAAGAACATGCAAAGACATTTCAACACATGGAGGCTAAATAACATATTATTAAACAATGAATGGGTCACCGAGGAGATCAAGGAAGAAATTAAAAACTTCCTGGAAAACAATGAAAATGAACACACAACAAAAAATCTACAGGATGCAGTGAAAGCAGTTCTGAGAAGGAAGTTCATAACACTAGAGGCCTACCTCAAGAAACAAGATAAATCTCTAATAGACTATCCAACCTCACAACTTGAACTAGACAGCAAACAAAAAGAAAATGCCAGAGCAAGTAGAAGGAAAGAAATAGTAAAGATCAGAGCAGAAATAAATGACATAGAGTCCAAAAAAACAATTCAAAGGATCGATGAAACAAAGACCTGGTTTTTTAAAAAGATACACATGATTCATGGACCCTTAGCTAGACTCGCCAGGAAACAAAGAGAGAGAACCTAATTTCACAAAATCAGAAATGAAAGAGAAGTAACAACTGACACCACAGAAATACAAAAGATCATTAACAACTACTATGAACAATTATATGGCAACGAATTCAACAATCTAAGTGAAATGGACAAATTTCTAAAAACACATAGTCTCCCAAAACTGGACCGGGAAGACATAGAACACTTGAACAGACCAATAACAACTAAGGAAATTGAAGATGTATAAAAACTCTCCCAGCAAACAAAAGCCCAGGTCTGGACGGCTTCACGGGGGAGTTTTACTGAACATTCAAAGAACTAACACCCATTCTCCTCAAACTATTTTGAAAAATTCAAGAAAAAGGAAGACTTCCAAACTTGTTTTATGAAGCCAGCATAATTCTAATTCCAAAACCAGAAAAAGACATTACAAAGAAAGAAACTATAGGCCAATATTCCTGATGAACTTTGACGCCAAAATCCTGAACAAAATACTAGCAAATCGAATGCAGCAATACATCAAAAAAATTATTCACCATGACCAAGTGGGATTCATCCCAGAGATGCAAGGCTGGTATGATATTCGCAAATCAATAAATATGATACACCACATAAACAAAATGAAGAATAAAAACCACATGATCATATCAATAGATGCTGAAAAAGCATTTGACAAAATCCAGCATCCATTTCTGACAAAAATGCTCAGCAATGTGGGAATAGAGGGATCATACCTCGACATAATAGAGGACACATATTAAAGACCTCCAGACAACATCATTTTCAATGGGCAAAAATAAGAAGCATTTCCCTTAAGAACAGGAACAAGACAAGGATGCCCACTTTTATTTAACATGGTACTGGAAATCTTAGCCACAGCAATCAGACAGGAAGAAAAAAAATAAAAGCTTTCCAAATTAGAAAGTAGGAAGTGAAACTGTCATTATTCGCAGATGACATAATAGTGTATGTAGAAAATCCCAGAGACTCCATCAAAAATTTACTAGACTTGCCCTGGCCGGTTTGGTTCAGCAGTTAGAGCATCAGCCTGCAGTCCCGAGAGACTCGGGTTCGGTTCCTGCTAAGGGCATGTACCTTGGTTGCAGTTTGTCTCCGTCCCTGGTCAGTTGTGGGGGTGGCAGCCACTCGATGTGTCCCTTTCACATCGATGTTTCTCTCTTTCTCTCTCTCTTCCTCTCTCTCCCTCCCACCCACTCTACCTGAACAAAAAATGTCCTCGGGTGAGGATAAAAAAAAAAAAATTTACTAGACTTAATAAATGAATTTGGAAAAGTAGCAGGATACAAAATTAACATCAAGAAATCGATGGCATTCTTATACACCAATGATGAACTCACAGAAAGAGAAACTAAGAAAAACAATCCCATGCCCTGGCCGGTTTGGCTCAGCGGTTAGAGCGTCAGCCTGTGGTCCTGAGAGACCTGGTTCAGTTCCGCTAAGGGCATGTACCTCGGTTGCAGTTTGTCCCCGGCCCTGGTAGGTCGTGCGGGTGGCAGCCACTCGGTGTGTTCCTTTCACATCGATGTTTTTTTCTCTCTCTCTGTTCCTCTCTCCCTCCTGCTCTGCCTGAACAAAAAATGGAAAAATGTCCTTGGATGAGGATGAAAAACAAAAACAAACAAACAAAAAAAATCCCATTTACCATCGTGATAAAAAAAATTAAGATACGTAGGATTAAACTTGACCAAAGATATAAAGAACCTATTTGCAGAAAACTACAGGTAATTGAAAAAAGAAATAAAGGAAGACATAAAAAAGTAGAAGCACATACCCTGTTCACGGACTGGAAGAATTAACATAATTAAAATGTCCATGATACCCAAAGCAATCTATAGATTCAAAGCAATCCCCATCAAAATACCAACGAGATACTTCACAGAACTAGAACAAATACTTCAAAAGTTCATATGGAACCAAAAAAGACCTCAAATAGCCACAGCAATCTTGAAAAAGAAGAACAAAGTTGGAGGGATCACATTACCAGATTTCAGGTTATACTACAAAGTCACTGTAATGAAAACAGCCTGATACTGGCACAAGAACAGGCATATAGACAGGTGGAACAGAAGAGAGAACCCAGAAATGGACCGAAGGCAATATGCTCAATTAATATTTGACAAAGGTGGCAAGAGCATATAGTGGAGTAAAGAGACCCTCTTTAATAAATGGTGTTGGAAAAATTGGACAGCTACATGCAAAAAAATTAAACCAGATCATCAACTTAAACCATACACAAAAATAAACTCAAAATGGATAAAAGACTTAAATGTGACTCATGAATCCATAAAAATCCTAGAAGAAACTGAAGGCAACAAAATTTCAGACATCATATGCAGCAGAATTTTCACTGATACATCCCCTAAGGCAACAGGGAGAAAATGAACACATGGTACTACGTCTAACTCAAAAGCTTCTGCACAGCAAAAGTTACAATAATCAAAATGGAAAGGCAACCCACTGAATGGAACAGTATAATTGCCAATGATACATCAGATAAGGGGCTAATTTCCAATGTATATAGAGTGCTCATACAACTCAACAAAAGGAAGAAAAAGAATCCAATTAGACACCTCTCCAATGCTCAACATCACTAAACATCAGAGAGATGCAAATTAAAACAACAATGAGGTATTACCTCACACCTGTCATAATGACCGCCATCAACAAATGATCAAACAACAAGTGTTGGTTAGGGTGTGGAGAAAAGGGGACTATTGTACACTGCTGGTGGGAATGCAGACTGGTGCAGCCGCTATGGAAAACAATATGGTGCTACCTCAAAAAATTAAAAATTGAACTTCCATTTGACCCAGTGACCCGCTTCTAGGAATATACCCTAAGAAGCCTGAAACACCAATCAGAAAGAATATTACCCCCATGTTTGTAGCAGCACTATTTATAATAGCTAAGGTTTGGAAACAGCCCAAGTGTCCATCAGTAGACAAATGGAAAAAAAGCTGTGGTACATATACACAATGGAGTACTACACAGCTATAAGATCTCTTATCCTTTGAGATGACATGGAGGGACCTGGAAAGTGTCATCCTAAGCGAAACAAGCCAAACAGAGAAAGAAAAGTTTCATATGATTTCACTTATTTGTGGAATATAATGAACATAACAGTCTGAGGAATGGGGTAGTCCCAGAAACTGAAGTAGGGTACAGACTGACAACCCTCAGAAGAGGGGGTGTTGGGAGGTGGGAAGAGATAAACCACTTATATGCATGTATGCTTAACCAATGGACATGGACAACAAAGCCGGGGACGGGGTGGGGAGGATGGGGAGGAGGGTGTCAATGGGGTAAAAAGGTTAAACATTTGTAACAAAAATAAAATTAAAAATAAATAAATAAAATAAAATTTAAAAAAATGTTTATGTAACATATATAAATAGTAACTATTAGCAAAATTAGGCAGATTTTTATAAGGATCTTTCTACTCAACTACACTATAATCCTAAGGATGCAAATACACACAGGGTCTACTGTTCTAGTCAAATACTGAGTATTACAAATGTCCACATCTTAAAGATATATGACTCGATTGTATACATCCTAATGTAGCATGTTGAATGAGTATTATTTTCAGTTCACCATTATGTTCAATCCTGACTTCAGTACTTCAACAGAGGTTTCTCTTCTCAATCCTCAAATATACAAAATTAGGACTAAAGGTAATTCGATTTACTTGTATGTTTGTCTTATAATTTTGGTGTAATATGGAGGAGGTACAGATGTACAAAAAATACTGTATGCTGAAACCCACACAGATTCTGATAAAAGTGTCAAAGGACAGATTCTGATAAAAGTGTCAAAAGACAAATAAGTAAATAATCTTTAAAGCTCCAAGAAGAGAGGCTCCTATATTGCAGATACTAAAAAGTTTTCTGTTAAAACTAGAAAGAACTTTATCTCCAAATGTTAAATAATTTCATATTCTGAGAACCAGTGAGGACAAATGGTGATGACTATACTGTAAATCTTGAATAAAATCTCTAAACAACAGAAAACATTAGCTCAGTCCGGAGAGACCTGGGTTCGGTTCCCGCTAAGGGCACGTACTTCGGTTGCAGTTTGTCCCCGGCCCTGGTTGGTCGTGCGGGTGGCAGCCACTCGATGTGTCCCTTCACGTCGATGTCTCTCTCTCTCTCTCTCCCTTCCTCTCTCTCCCTCCCACTCTATCTGTACAAAAAATGGAAAAATATCCTCGGGTGAGGATAAAAAAAATAAAATAAAATAGAAAACATTAGCTCAGGATTATTTTATATTTTTATCCTCACCTGAGGACATTTTTTCCATTTTTTGTTCAGATAGAGTGGGAGGGAGAGTAAGGAAGAGAGAGAAAAACATCTATGTGAAGGGAACACATCGGGTGGTTGCCACCCGCATGACTCAACCAGGGCTGGGGACAAACTGCAACCGAGGTATGTGCTCTTAGTGGGAATCGAACCCAGGTCTGTCTGGACCGCAGGTTGAAACTCTAACTGCTGAGCCAAACCAGCCAGGAAATAGCTCAGGATTATTAAAAACAACTATAATGTATACAAAAATAGAGTTGGGAAATTAATTACTGGGAAGTTATAATCAACTTTTTTTTGAAAAGTAGTTAATAGTGGTGGCAGTAAAAAAGGGAAGGATTTAAAATGAGTCAATTACATACACGAGAGAGTAGCAATAGAAGCATAAACAGACAGAGTTCCCAGATACAAAAGAAAAGAAACCAATTTAACAGAATGGGCAGGGACACATGCACTCAGTAAAAACCCTTGAAAAGCTAGCCAAGAGTTTAGATAGTATAAGATTGGGAGGTCAAGTAGATCCATAAGTGAAAACAATTTGCAAATAATTCACTTCCATTTTCCAGTTTTTTAAAAACTATATTGTAAAAAAAAAACCCCACAAAAAACATATGTGTGTGTGTATAGTCATGGGCTATACCCACACACACACACATATACATATACACATACACATATACATATATGTGTGTGTGTGTGTGTGTGTGTGTGTGTGTGTATAGTCAATAGACATTGGTGAGGGGAGGGGGAGAGAAGAGATTAATCACAGAACATATATGCATAGCCCATGGACACAGATAACAATAGTGTGAAAAAACCTGGGTTGTATCAGGCTGGGTTTTTCTCTCTCTCTCTTCCTCACTCTCCCTCCCACTCTATCTGAATAAAAAATGGGCTGAACCCTGGCCGGTTTGGTTCAGCGGTAAGAGCGTTGGCTTGCGGTCCAGAGAGACCCAGGTTCGGTTCCCACTAAGGGCCCGTACCTCGGTTGCAGTTTGTCCCCCACCCTGGTTGGGTCGTGTAGATGGCAACCACTTGATGTGTCTCTTTCACATTGATGCTTCTCTCTCTCCCTCCTACTCTATCTGAATAAAATATGGAAAAATGCCTTCGAGTGAGGATTAAAAAAAAAAAAAAAAAGGCGGGCTGGGCTGGGTAGAGGGGAACAAATGGGGGACATCTGTAATAATATCAACAAATAAAAGAAACATATATATTCGTCTCTGATATATTACATAGGGACAAAACAAAAAAAACAGGAAAGGAAGCCCATGTGATTCTCAATAGTTAATGTTAGTTTATAATACATATCTCTAGCATATAGCTGTGTGGTATTCATATAAGTTGCAAGGTTTTCTGCGACCATAGTAACTAAGGAATGATTATGCTGAAGTTGATTGATTAAATCATGACGATAGAATACATGGGCACTTCGCTGAGTCTGACTAAAACGAGAAGTTAACAGTGTAAGTAGGCAACAAACACTGCTGTAATTAAGTTTCAGTTGCAAATCAACTATACCATTAACTAAGAATTTACAGAGACTAAAATTCTATCACTACTTTTAAAAGTATAAAATGTCTTACATTCATAATAAAATTAGGACAATGTCCTTTTTATAACAAAATATTAAGCAATATAAACAATGCCTCAACACATTTATTCCAATATTATTTTATACAAAAGCCACCTACCAGTATTCTCAAACTTAATCTCTGAAACCAATCAACTCACATTATCAAATTTGTGATCAAATCTCCTGACTTGAAGAGTCTATGTAGTATTGCATATATGAACAACCAAAAATGGGGACATTTGACAATAGGCATGTAAGTCAAGCATAATCAAAGTGTGTCCTTCACAGATAAATAATATTAAAAGATTATTTCAGGATTTTCTCTAATATTTATGTCCAAGAAATGTTTTACTTTCATGTAATTTTTTCAGCATTAGAAATAAGTATCAAAATTCAACTTGAAAAATTAAAACATAAGTGCCATATAATTCTGTTTAAGCAGGAACTATTTACATGCATAATCACATCAATTTACATTTGTAAAGGATCTTGAAATTGTCTTACATACAAGAAGAACGTGTCTAGAAGGTCTGAGAATCTTTCTAAGATTATAGCTAATTAGACAGAACTAGGGTTCACTACCAGAAATCTTAACAGTGTTGAGAATAATTATTGATATTACATCTTTGTTAAATACCTATATTTCCATGTTATTTTTTCTCTCATGCCACTAATTTCAAATACATTCCTCCAAGTTAAAAGTACTGCAATGACTATAGTTTAGTCAAACACATAAAATTAGCTACTTAAATCTAGCTAAAATAAATTAAGAATAAAAAATATGTATAAGCAATATTTTTCATAATTTAAATTGCTTGTAGTCTTATCTTTGAAAATGAACTTCTAAATTCAAGAAAAGGAAACCACCTCTCCTCCTTTCTAAATTACTATGTCCTAGTATCAATTTAAGTTAATTTAAAATGTTAAGAAATGTGAGATTAGAACAATTAAATAGAACTGTATAAGATACCATCATGTGAAATTAAGAAAGCAGTAGAAAAGATTTTAAAAAAAGGGTATAGGTACGATAAATACAACCCATGCCCCAATAATGTCTGCATATATGCTGGAAATTCAAGACAATTCTGAAGAGTTTAAGGCAATGAATACCTTAATTCTGATACTTCTGTGTCATAAAAATAAAGAGAGAAACACAATAAAGCAATTGGATTTGTTTCAAACAATTGTCCTCAAGCTTCCTGTTTTCTCACTCTAGTTTTCTTTTTCTTTTTTAAACTTACTTTTTCTGATAGCCTGTTCTCAACATAATATATAAATTAAAATTAGAAATGTTTCTATATTAAAAGGCTTACCTTAAGTTTTGAGGTGCTTCATCAAATAAACTACCAATTTCTCTTATTTGTTTCAGTGCAGGAATTACCCACTTATCATTTGTGTGAAGTTCTTCTATAAAATGATCTATCCACTGGATCTTCTGTGTGTCTCGATCCTTACACACACACACACACACACACACACACACACACACACACACACACACAAATTTATGGTTATATGAAAATGGATATAATTGTACCTCAAAATATTTGATAATTAGAGTATAAAACCTTAAGCTCAAGAATTATGATGTAACTGCAATAGTTGAATAATACAAAATGCTTTAAATATATTCTTATTTTGAAGTAATCACCAAACTCCAAAATGTAAAGCACCACTATAAAAAAATTAGTGTTTTTTATGAATACAGATATATCTGCACCAAGATTAAATCCCAATTTTAGGCATAGTAGCAGAAAAAAAAAAATTTAAATATGCTTAAACATGGGTATTGCATTTTATTCAATGTTTATAAGGTTCTCCATATTATGAAATTGGAAAAACATACAATTCCAAATATTACCACTGGGTGTGATATTTGCATATTTTTCTAAAAAGAACAAGACAAACTGATAATTTATATTTTATCAAAAGATAACAATATAATTCTATAAGTTTTAAAACAAATTACTAAAACAAAAATAAATCAATATACGGTGCATGTTATAGAAAACAGGTACAACTATTCACCTAAAAAAAATTGAGAATGTTGAAGTATGTTCTAAGTTCATTTCTAATACTCTGCCAGCACGTACTTGCTTCAGACTTTTAATATAAAATCACTAATAATCAGAACAATTCAAGTTTGAGTACCTAGCACATTTTTAATGTGAATGACTCTATTTCTGTGCACTTATGGGAAAGAAAAGGCAATTCTGTAAATGTGTTTAAGACTTCATGTGGGGAAATATTTTCTAGTCTGTAGGTACTATGTGGTGGCTTTATTACTTCCCAGAAAAAAATTTATAAATGTCCTAGCCAGTTTGGAAATTTATAAATGTGAAATTAGTGGTCTGAACTCTGTGTATATCTTAAAGAATTAAAAAATATTTATACATCAATATTAAATATGTCAATATTTAATATTAAAAGCACTTTGTGTTGGAGAGCACAGAGAGTGATATATTTGTAAGTTTTCCATAATTAGAGGAAATGAAGGCTGAAGTTGAAAAAGAAAAACTTTTACTAAATTTCATAAAACCTAGTATCTATTTATGTGGCAATCGTTAAGACACTATGCCATAAAATTATATGAATAGCCAATTATAGGAGGAAGTAACCATTGAGCATCTATAGCAAGTGTACCGCTCTGATTCTCTGTAACACTTCTCTATTTGATAAAACAGAATTTAAAATCAAGGTCTATATAACAATTTGAGATGCTGCATGAATCTTAATGAACAGTCAAAACCAAGTACAGTGTATGCAACATTGGCAACTAAATTGGATTAATATTTCTTTGATAAATGTGAAGCTCCAAATGCATTATGACAGGTTTATTACTGAGGAAAAAAAGAAGCTCCCTGTTTTTGATCTACTTATAAAGAAAAGTAGTTAGGCCCTGTCCGGTTTGGCTCAGTGGTTAGAGTGTCGGCCTGCGGTCTAGAGAGACCAGGGTTCAGTTCCCGCTAAGGACACATACCTCGGTTGCAGTTTGTCCCCGGCCCTGGTTGGTCGTGCGGGTGGCAGCCACTCGATGTGTCCCTTTCACGTCGATGTTTCTCTCTCTCTCTCTCTTCCTATCTCTCCCTCCACTCTATCTATACAAAAAATGGAAAAATGTCCTCGGGTGAGGATAAAAAACAAGAAAAGTAGTTAGGATAAATTTTAATTTATATCTTCTTTAGAACTAAGAAAAAAAATTTCCAGTTTTATTTGAACAGGTAGGACTAAATAGTTTATGGACTATCTTAATTTGTTAAATATCTCAGGTAAACAATGTATGTATGACAGTACTTTTTAAATTAAGGCAAAAGTTCAGAAAATACATTTAAAACTTTGGTTTCCAAAACATGAGAGGATCATTTCACTTAACTTGACAAGAGTAAAGTCCAGCAGAATGCCTGCCCTCAAGTAACTACCCGACTCAGTCATTTTTTTTAAAAAAGAAAATACATCATCTTTATTAATTTCTTTAACTAACCTATTAGAAGAATGACAAATCACTGCTGATAAAAACAAAACAAAACAAAAAACAGAAAGAAGAGACACAGCCAAGAACTGTGGCTCACTTGATTGAGCATCATCCCATACACTGGGAGATTGCTCGTTCAGTTCCCTGTCAGGGCAAGTGCTGGGAGACTGCAGGTTTTATCCCTGGTGGGGAGCATATAAGAGGTAGCTGAACAATGGTTCTCTCTCATCAAAGTTTATCTCCCTCCCTTTGTCTCTCTCTCTCTAAAAAAATTCAATGAAAACTTTTTTTTTTAAAGGAGAAACAGATCCAAGAATATAAGTACAATTTTTTTTTTTTGCATTTATTTTGAGATAGAGCAGGAGGGAGAGAGAGAGGAAGAGAGAAAGAGAGAGAAACATTGACGTGAAAGGGACACAACGAGTGGCTGCCTCTCACACGACCCAACCAGGGCCGGTACAAACTGCAGCCGTGGTACATGCCCTTAGCGGGAACGGAACCCGGGTCTCTCTGGACCACAGGCCAACGCTCTAACCGCTGAGCCAAACCGGCCAGGGCTAAGTAAAATTTAATGTAATGTTCATACCTAAAATCAGGAAACATAAGTGATTAAGTTAAATGTAGGGAAGCTGCCACGATTTGCTAATAAGGACAGCACTGCTTAGAAAATTTTATTAACTTTTATTAACTTTTTGAACAAAAAATTGTATTAGCTTTTATACCATCCTACACCACAGTACTACTATAATGAACTGTTTAATATACACAAATCCTTTTAACAAGGAGGAAAAAATCCTTAATAATACAAAAATTTGCTGGAAAAAAGAGGACAAAACCAAGCTTTGTGACAAAAGTAAGCCATTCTTTCAAAACTACTTTAAAAACAAAAATAATGGATTTATTCTATAAATAAGCTATTCTAATTGTATAGGGAAAAACAGAAAAAATGAATATGTAAGTTCTCCCATACCTGGGAACAACTATAATCTAGTATTTTTATGTGGGCACTAAGAGCTAGTTCCATGATGTCTACAGGCACATCATCTCTATGGGCGAGATTCCAAAGAAGGTTCAACACTTTGTCTGCCATCACACCATCTTTATCGTCCTCTGCAACACGACGTATCAGCTCAAGTAGCTTTTCATGTTGTTTTTTACTTGCATTTGTCCAACTTGCCTAGAAAATAAATTATGTAAATATCACAACATATGCATTTATTTATAATTGGCCATCAATGTTTTAAATATATGACTTTGAATAAATTAAATTTAATTCTTCACAACCACACACACAAACAATAATTCAACACTCAACAACCCCAGTCTTATTTAAGAAAATGATAGTATTCATGAGAAAAAAATCTCTACTTATAGCTTAAACTTTAATGACTTAAAAATGGCATAATAAAAGAATAAAAATGCTTCATATAAAATTCATTAGAAAATCCTAACACTCAATAAAAAACACAAACCACCCAATTTATAAATGGACTCCAAGCTTAAAAACAATAACAACATTTACCGAAGATACACGAATGGACATCAGAATTACAACAAAATTACAGAACCACCATCATTCAGAACAACCTGAAATCAACCTGAATGGAAGTCCTCAACTATGAAATTAAAAAAGCTACATCCATACTGGTAGGAGGGGTGAAGGCACAGACGAGCTATTCCTACACCCACATGTGGCGAACAAAAATCAGGAGGATACCTCAGCTGTGAAGATCCTCCCTGAGGCGTGGGGGTGCTCTGTATCCCACATCAAGTCCCCCCAAACAGGGTTCCAGGAAGAAAAGTCTCCATAACTTCTGCCTCTAAAAACCAGTGTGGCTGAGGGAAGCTGAGGCTATTAAAGTCCCAGACCGATCCTTCTAAAGAGCCCAAGCAGGACTTACTTGACCCGTTCCCTCCAGGCTCCAGAATGGAGGAAGCAGCTTGAGAGGCATCTGAGACATATGAAAAACAGCTAGGTTGTTTGATTTTGGAGTGAGAGCTGGAGGGGCAGCTTTCTCAGAGACCTGCTGGCAGAAGCCACTGTATCTTTGGTGAACCCTTCCCCTGTGGGACCAGCAGATGGGGACCAGACTGGGACTCCAGCAACCTGGCTCACACAGTTTGCCCAGCCCTGAGGCC